ATTGAAGCTAGAACTTGTGAAATATATATCGAAAGGCTTGGTAGTAATGTTATCGGTTGGTGGACTGTTTTGGGATGCTCAATATGATTATTATTGATGTTGTTTGGGCTGTTTGGTGATTGTTTGGAATTGTGCGAAGTCATATATATAGGGGAGGTGCTGTCCATTTCATCGTAAAATAGGTTGTGGTCGATACATAATAGTTATGACGCTTGAATGGTAACTATAGTACCGTTTCTCTTATTGTAGACTAAGGAGTCGTGAAAATTGCATAGCTTGAGATTGGGGCAGTATATACAAGGTATGTGAGGCTATCCCTTTCCTTCTTTTGCACGACTCCGATTGTACATAATGTAATGAACGAGCTTCCAAAGATACTCTACTCTTAGAAGCTAGCAGTACTTACATTGTTTCCCCTCTTATGGAACGATTGACGTTGATGTTGCTTCTCTTATTCTTATGTTGTCAATGTTATTGGTACTTCCTGATTCTTATAAGGTTCATGGTGAAGAGTTAGTCCTAATAACGTGTACAGAGGATACCGACCTTACGTCACTCCAAAAGGTTTAGAACGTGACTCCATGAGTCCAGCATGCATTATATATGTATGTACTTTACTCTACCGAGCCGCGCTATAGTCGGCCGGGTATGGCATCTATTGTGCAACCACTGATCAGTTGGGTTTTACCGAGCTCCACGTGGCCGGGTACGTTTTTACCGAGCCTATTACGGCCGGGTACGATATGATGATGATGATGCCCACAGAGGCGAATGTTTTTTAAAAGTTTATGTATATATACATATGTATTACGCATTTCATGTCAGTAGCCTTAGAGGTACCCAGATGTTACAGGTTGTTTATTCTCTATCCCTGCTTACATTACTGTTCGTACTTATGGTTCCCTGCCTTACATACTCAGTACTTTATTCGTACTGACGTCCTTTTATTTGTGGACGCTGCATGTCGTGCTGCAGGTCCTGATAGACAGGCAGGCGCAGCTCCCCCACCATAGTAGGCTGTCCAGTTCAGCGGTGATTGGCGAGATCCCTTCTTCGGACTTGCCTTGGTCTTGGTATGCATTTTTGTTATAGATATTATGGGTATGTCGGGGCCCTGTTCCGGCTATGTTGCAACACTTATGTTCCTTTAGAGGCTCATAGACAGGTGTCGACTCATGTATAGTTTGGTAGGCCTTGTCGGCTGGTTTTTGTTGTATAGTCTCTCATGGTAGTGTGGTAGCTCGTACCTTATATATAGTTTCTTGATTGTCTAGTCATCCCATGTTATGTATGTTCATGCCATCATATTTTATTGTTGGTTGTCCATGACCCATGTCTACCATTTATATTGATTTCGTCAGCCCTAAAAGATAATAAAGAAGGTTAGATAAAATATATGTTGGTACTCGGTAAGTATGGCCGGGTGCTAGTCATGGCCCTCCGTTTGGGTCGTGACATTAACCTTATGGCAGTCACTATCTCTTGAGTTAAAAGAATGTTTTCCACTATGCTCCTCCCCTTAACAAAACCAGATTGTTCATCTGAGATCAATGATGGTAACAGTACAACCATTCTTTCATGAATAACTCTAGAGAAAATTTTGTTGACAAAGTTGCTAAGACTAATTGGTCTCATATCTGAAAATGTTTCAACTGCCTTCTTCTTTGGCAGTAGAACTAAGTTTGTATGAGTGATATACCTAGGCAGCTCATGCCCATTGAAGAATGCCTGCACCATAGCAACTACATCCTCCCCTATTACATCCTAGCATGACTGAAAAAAAGCACCTGTAAAGCCATCAGGACCTCCTGCACTATCTCCATTTAGCCCCATCACTGCAAGCTTGATCTCTTGCTCAGTAGGTTGTTGAATTAATTTAGCATTTTGACTACTATCCACCATTGAAGGCACATGTTCTAAGATCCTAAAATCTGTAGGTACTGTGTCTTCTTGAAACTGCTTCTGAAAAAATTCCACTGCTTCTTCTGCTATTTCAGTACTGTCCTCTAACCAAATACCTTCTGAGTTTTGTATTCTCTTCAACTGTAGTCTCTTCCTTCTACCATTCACCTGAGCATGAAAGAATTTGGTATTCCTATCTCCATCTTGAAACCAATTCATCCCTGCCTTCTGCTTCCAGAACTCTTCCTCTAATGCAAGATATTTAATCAAGTCAGCTTGTACTTTCTGTAGCCTCTGCCTACTTTGTACTGTAGGATTTCTTTCAAATTCATCTTCATGAACTAGCACCACTTCCTCTAAACTAGCAATTTTTTGAAATATGTCCCCATAGGTGCTTTTGCTCCACCCTGATAATGCCCTCTTCAATTTCTTCAATTTCTGATTGAACATGTAAAATGGATCTCCTGAAAAGTCCACCTTCCAGTTTTCTCTAACCACTGATTTAAAGGTAGGATGTTTTATCCAAAAATTTAGGAATCTGAATGCTTTTTTAATTGGAATCACATCTGGACTACCTTTTAAATGCGTAGGACTATGATCTGAACCTGTTTTAGATAAGTGAATTATTTCCAATGAGGGGAACATCTGTTGAAACTCAATGTTTGCCAAACATCTGTCCAACCTTTTGAAAATGCAATTTTCCTCAGCTCTCCCATTCCACCAAGTGAAAATACTCCCCTTAAAACCTAGATCTGAGAGATTGCAAGTATTGACACAATGTCTGA